GTTCTGCAGGATCACATGGAAAAGCAAAAAATGAGATCATTTCTCGGGGCATGACGAGGAGTGATGTTTGGGACCACTCCACGGAAAAAGCACTCACCTACGACCAAGCTTTTCATCAAATTCCTACAAACAAGTAAGCGTAGTATACGAAAGTTGAAGAATTTCTTCGCGTCCTTCTCAGGTTCCTCTGAAAAATCTCTTGGAACTTGGGACATGTTACAAAATAGGCCAACTAGTTCCGCTGAAATCTGATCTGCGATTTGCATGTGAACGCGAGGGAAGGGAATTGGGCTCAGAGACTACACGTCTCACCGTTCAGGGCTCTGAAATGAAATAGAAATCCTGGAAACTTCAAAAAAATTCAATTAATCTCGCAATGTAGTAGACCAAGTCGAGTACGTGGCGCATTCTGGGGCAAGTCTTGAAGCCCATCTTTCTATATACGATCATGCTTCACTCATGTGATTATGTACGCACCACATCTAATCAGTTACTTCTCGAGATGAAACTCGAGTGCATGGCGCAATCCTATAGTGAGCTTTTTCAAAATTTGAAAGCATATTCTTATAGACTCGACGAGCTGAGTTCAACGCTTTTTTCAGATTTTGAAAATCTCAATTTTGAACCGAGTTATAACGAATTCACGAAAATAACGCGAAATCGCCGGATTCGCGTGTATTTTTTTTTGCTTCACTCATGTGATCATGTACGCACCACATCCAATCAGTTGCTTCTCGAGGTGAAACTCGAGTGCATGGCGCAATCCTATATTAGCTTTTTCAAAATTTGAAAGCATATTCTTATAGAAGCTCGACGAGCTGAGTTCAACGGTGTTTTCGGATTCTGGAAAGCTCAATTTTGAACCGAGTTATAACGAATTCACGAAATTAACGAGGATTCGCGTTATTCGCGTGAATTTTCGATTTCAAACGGCGAGTACTGTATTTCTTAGGTGTTCCCCGTAAGCAGAAGCAGGCCCTCCTTCACTGCCCCCGCCGTCTTCAGAATATGACGTCATCTGCCGTCACCGTCGAGCTCAACGAGGCTTACCGTAATCGCTCCGGCCTGAAGCTGCTACATAATTTCTTCAATGGATTAACTGTTGAATAGCTTCCCAGAGACATAGCTGTGACTATGCAAAACCGCTTTTGACCAGCGTTTCAGGGACGTCGTAATGGTCTATGGTACCTCGACGACCTCGTTGAGCTCGTACCGTGAACCATGTTTCCGTGGGAAAATCTTCTGATGTCGTCGGTGTAGAAGGCTGTCATGTAACTTTTAGATAGATTAGAATGTGCTCTTCAATACTAAGTTGGGGGCAGTCGATTTGATTTTAGCAAAGTGTGATTAATGCTGTCTGAAATGTGGAGTGAAGTGTCTCCTTTTTTGGCCACCCCTGCAATGGTCAGACAGTCGAAGTGAGTATGAGTAGAATAGCCATTAAGTGGCTTACTTAATTCTGTTCAGCGAATTTAAGCGATATTAAATTGAACTTAATTAATCAAAAACATTTCTGAAAGCTATCAAGTTTATAGCGTTGGTATTGCTTCACAATATGTGTTTCCTGCCGAGCTCGTGATTGGTTTATTGTTGAGACAAAAAGCGAGTGGAGCGTTCAAAACTGCTCCTCTTGTAAGGGTGAATTTTGAAAAACTCAAAGAAACACTTTTGCCGCTTAATGGAAAATCCTCCACTCTAGGCGTAGTACCATCTTCTAAATATCGCTTTCGTCGGATTGTTGCAGCACAACCTAGCTGGCAGGTTTGAGAGGTGCAAAAATGAATCGGTAACTGATCATTTTGAAGCTGAAATCGTCTTGTCATGTTGGGATCGCTAATTATCATAAAGATGGTAAAGGGGAGAATGTAGTGGAACACTTTGGTTGGACCAGTTGCTCTCAATAATGGTTTCTTGAGAGTGAAAAATGACATATTAAGTGAGGCACGTAATAATTCACCGAGCTGTGGTTCCTTTTCAAATTTTCTAGTGCTCTTTCAGCATCGACCACTAAAAGGTGTGATTTCTCGGAGGTTTCGCATAGCAGAACATTATAATTCACGCTTACTTCGGGTGCTCGCTCTGTCTAAAGGACGAATTCACGATGAAAAAGCAACCCATTTCAAATTAACCTAGGGATGGTGAGTGGTACACGAAAGAAGGAAGAACCATGAGAAACGGCCCAGAACCCGAGAAATGGGACCCCTTCCTTGCCCGTTGATTTGAGCATTGATGCGACTCTCATCGCTGTGCCCTCTTCAACACTACGCTCTCTCAGCTATCTAATCACTCGCCACGTATTGAACTACGGCGAGTGATCAGATGATCGGTGGGCGGAGATCGCCAGACCCGCCAGCTTTGAGGCATGATAGGGATCAAATTTTTCTTTTTCTATTTTTGATTTTTCTAATTTTCTTTCTGTCAAATGGCCATCATCATATAGCACTTTTCGATCGATTCCACAACTTTTAGTGGAGGCAGGGTCGGTCCTATCGTTGCTACTTTTCAAAAAGTTTTTACGACCCCCTCCCTCATGAAATGTTTCATACGACCCCCTCTTTCAAAACAATTTTTACCCCAAAAAATTACCGTCGAGCGGGGGGGGGGTATATACTTACCGTAAAACCGCAAAAATTCCCTACATTTCCCTACAATTTCCATGTATTTTACCCATATTTCAACTACTCCACAGGGTCCGCATCATCTTGCGCAACGTCAAATTCATAGTCGTCCATTAGGTCCAAGAGATCTTCCTCCGGTTCTTCAGAAGCAGCGTCTCTTCCAACGGGTTCCTCGACATGCTCTGACGGTGCCTTCTCGACACTTTCACGGTCTCCCTGCATCGATTCGGCTTGTCCCTTTGAGAGCAGGTCTTCCGGTGCTCTTGGTCCTCCTGTTTCTTCTGCCACCGGCAGCGGCAGATAGAGACTCGAGTCCTTTCGGACATCTCCTTTATGGTCTCGTTCTGGCCATCAATCTTTCGCAAAAGTTCCATGTGCTGTTCTTCCTGCTCCTTTCGCAAGCTGGAGATCAGTTCCTTCACTGCATCAAGAGGGCTGGCATGCCGTTCGCTTTCTTCTTGGAGCTGGGCTTCTCTGATCTCATGCTCTACCTGGTGCTTAAGGTCGGCAAGAAAGTCAAGCTCCTTTCTGATGAAGTCAGCCGTGAAATTCGGTTCCCATGGCTACGCCTTGCTCTTCCTTGTCGTAAAAGCGAATCTCGAGAGTCCGCCACTTTATCATCTGATAGAACCAGAAGTCCGTACACTTCATAGGCCATCGATAGTGCTTCGGCAGTGCTACGGATCCTTTCGCACGTGTAGCAGGCTTCAAAGATGAAGTTTCTCTAAGCGACTCTTGTAGAGCGTCGCCTCCATGCTCGCAAAAAGTTTGGGCTTAGTCCCACGCAATTCAGCAAAGGCTTCAGGAAGAGAGTTAGACCTAACGAGCAACAAGATCGACTTTACAAATCTACGTATCTTCTTTCCCTCACCAGTGTCACCAAGCTCGTCGCGCTGTGGGGGCGGAAACGCTTTCTGGTTGCAAAAGAGGGGGTAGCCGTAACTCCTCGCCAGGAAGTAGGCTAAAGGGTGGCGGCCCGAGAGACGGCCCTTACATACGGCAGTGGGGGCTCTCCGCCAGGATAGGCTAGGCGGTGGGCAGTCTCTGGCCACTAGCACATTATGAAAGGTCCTAAAAATAATGTACCCTCAGTCCTGCGCAGCGGATCCCATGTACAGAGGGTGAAGCAGAGGGGGAGAAATCTCGCAGTCGACAAGTATCTGTACGCCTATTTTGGTACCATCAATGTTCGAGCTTTAACATCGGATGCCAAGATTGACCACCTCATTGGCGAGCTCGACAAATGTAGCATCGACATCTGTTGTTTGCAGGAGACTAGAAGGCGCGCACCCGGCTCGTGGACGTGGGGGTCCGGGCACACGAGGTGCATCTCGGTGCTGGAGCAAGCAATGGAAAAGTGGGCGGAGTGGGCTTTGTCATCAGCCCCCGCATGACGCCCAGAGTGGTATCATGTGAAATAAGATCAGAGAGGCTGGCACTTCTCCAAGTGCGGGTCGATGACCGAACGCTGATCCTCGTTGTGAACGCATACGCTCCCACCAGCGCCTACGATGACGCCGTTGTCGAAGACTTCTATGAACAAATTTCAGAAGCCATCCGCACAAAACCCCGTGGCGCCAGAGTTATCGTCGCCGGAGATTTCAATGGTGTCACCGGGTGCGGCCGTCCCGGCGAGTGCTTCGTCGGTCCGTACGGTCGTGGAGACCGCAACCCTCGGGGGAGGTCTTAGCCGAGTTCGCTGAGCGGGAGAGGCTATTCGTAACCAACACCTTCTTCCAGAAGCGACAGGGGCGGCGGTGGACCTGGCGCAGTCCCAATGGGATAGGTAAACACACGCTGGACCATATCCTAGCCGGGAGCCTCAGGTACTTCGACGACGTGACGGTCATCAGCGAGTCGCGGTTCAATATCGGGTCCGACCACAGGTTGCTCAGGGCAACGTTCAAAATAAGCGGAAAATTGGAGCGGCGGCTCAGGGCAATAGCCCAGCAGTCTAACATCAAGACGAAGGTCAATTCTGACATCGTCCGACTGCTAGCCCCCACGGTGTGCAAACCCACTAGAATATTCGCCACCGTTGACGACGAGTACGCAAACCTGTTGGCCGAGGTCGACCGCGTCGTTACAAAGGCCACAACACGCGTCACCTCTGACCCGCGACCGCGTCTGACTCCCGAGACATTAGAGCGGCTGAGGACGAGGAAGGCTAAAGTTGCTAGAATGAGCCACATCGAAAAAGCCGTCCTTAATAAAGAAACCCGTGCCCGGGTAGAGCATGATTAT